CGCCAGATCCATGGGCTAATATACATGAAAATAGAGGAATTTGTGCGATTCTTAAAAAAGGACCTATAGATGCGGAAATGTGCGTGAAAAAAATGGTGTGAGTATACGTGATGATTCACCAACTCAATACGGATGTACTCATAAAGTCTTTTGAGGAAAAAATTTTGGGTGCTTCAGATGCCAGATCCATGAGTTAATACACACGAAAAATAGAGCAATTTGCGCGATCCTTAAAAAGGGCATTGTAGATGCGGAAATGGACATAAAAAAATGGAATGATTATACGTGATGGTTTCCAAACTCAATATGGATGTCCTCGTAAAAGTTTTTGAGAAAAATAATTTTGGTGCTCCGGGAACTAGATCCATGGGCTTATATACACACGAAAAATAAAACAATATGCGCGATTCCTAAAAAAGGCATGTAGATGCGAAAATGGGTGTGAGAAAAATGATGTGAGTATACGTGACGGTTCCATACTCAATATGGAGGTCCTCAGGAAGTTTTTTGAAAAAATAAATTGGGTGCTCCAGGTGCTAGATCCATGGGCTTATACACACGAAAAATAGAGCAATTTGAGCGATTTCTAATATAGGGCCTGTAGATGCGGAAATGAGCGTGAAAAAAAAGGTGTGAGTATATGTGATGGTTCCCCAACTCAATATGGTGGTACACGTAAAATATTTTGAGAAAAATATTTTGGGTGCTCTTGGCGCCAAATCAATGGGCTAATACACATGAAAAATAGAGCAATTTGCGTGATTCCTAAAAAGGGCCTTGTAGATGCGGAAATGGGCGTGAAAAAAATGGTACGTGATGGTTCCCCAACTCAATACGGAGGTCCACATAATTTTTTTTGGGAAAAAGTTTTTGGGTGCTTCAGGCGCCAGATCCATGTGCTAAATACACACGAAAAATAGGTCAATTTTCGCGATTCCTAAAAATGGGTCTGTAGATGAGGAAATAGGCGTGTAAAAAATGGTGTGAGTATACGTGGTGGTTCCTTAACTCAATACGGAGGTCCTCATAAAGTTTTTTGAGAAAAAAATTTTAGGTGCTCTGGGCGCCAGATCCATGGGCTAATACACACAAAAAATAGAGCAATATGCGTGATTCCTAAGAAAAAGGGCATGTAGATGCGGAAATGGGTGTGAGAAAAATGGTGTGAGTATACGTGATTGTTCCAAACTCAAGATGGAGGTCCTCATTATTTTTTTGAGAAAATTTTTTTGGGTGCTCCGAGCGCCAGATCAATGGGCATTTACACACAAAAAATAAAGTAATTTGCGCGATTCCTAAAATTTTGAAAACACTGTCTCATATTGTATAAGTTGTAGAAAAATAAAAAATGAAACAAAAGGTGTAAAAATGAACAATATATGTATATGTTCGCAACTCTATGTTAGATAGACGATAAAGTAACACAATCAAAATATTTCATTCAAAGTAATAATCTTTTAGCAAAAAAAAAAAGTACTTGTATTTAAATAAAAGCATATTGCATAAACTATTCAAGTATTATCAAACTCATCATGTATTAATAGAAGTTGTCACTTAAGTAGCACTTAAAAGAATAATAACACAAAAACAACGGAAAAAAAACCATAACAATATTTATTTTGGACAACCATACCTTAACTACAAAACGAAAAAGAAAAACTTAAAATCATAAGCTAACATGAAAAAAATTCTAGAGGAATATATATATATATATGCCAAGCTTAACACTTGAACTATATTGTAAGAAAGCTTCTCTTTTTAATTTCAGAATGAAACTATTGTTCTTCCCATCTGTTAGCTTCTTGACGACATGTATCTATATCAGTATCTAGGAAGAAGAAAAGAGAATAGTAGATGATAGAAAAGAAGAATATGATGATCTGGGGAGCAATTTACTGGTATTTATAGTGATATTTGACTTTCTTTTCACCTACCAAAATTTATTAATGGAGCACATTGAATCACAATACATAAATTTTATTTTGGTTTCAAAATTCAAATTAAAGAGTCACCGAATTGGAAGAACTTCCTACATTATTTTGTCTTCTACTCTAATTGAATTTAACCTAATCAATTATAATTATAATGTCATAACTAAAAAATTAAAGTGTAGTTGTTGGACCTTCATATTCCACCATTATGTAATTAAAATATTAGTATTTAATAAATTAATTAATTTTATTTTGATTAAGTGGAGGGGCAAAATGGTAATCCAACTTTGAAGGTTGGAGCTTTCCACTTTTAACATATATATATATATATATATACTAGATAATGGTGCCCGTGCTATGCATGGGCCCAATAATATAAATGGTATGTTTTGGGGTTAATAGCGGAGTTTTTGAAGCGATTGTTTGCGTGAATAAAGGAATAAGTTTTTTTATCACAAACTTGTACTTTCTTTGACACTATTTAAGGCATAATAAGACTATCCACATACAATATTTTTGAAAATATTTTATGTTGTCAATTATCATAATTTATAGTATTTTTATGATAGATTCACTTCAAGAATCAGTGCAATTTTTAAAAATAAAAAACACAAAAAAATAAGACAATTAAATTAAAATGGACCCAATATATGTTATTTTTGTTGTCTCAATTTATGTGACACAAATAAAATTTGGAGAGTCATCCAAATTTTCATATTTGTTTAAAAAATGTTTTAAGTTATTAATTATTGTGATTTATAATATTTTTATGTAACTTTCAAATAACCTACATTACTGGTCACTTTGTCCTAATTTATGTGATATGGATAAAATACAAAATTAACCCTTTTAAAATGTCTTTTAGATATTTTAAGTTGTTAATTATTATTATTTATAATACTTTTTTGATAATTTTAAAATGATATGTGTTATTTTTTTTGTCCCAATATATGTGAGCCAGATAGAATTCTGAGAGTGAAGCTATTTTATTTTATAGCTTTTAAATATTTTAATTTGGTAATTATTGTAATTTTTAATGCTTTTTAAGTCATTTGTAAATGATAAATGTTGCTTCCTTTGTCCCATTTTAGATAGTATAAATAAAATTCCCAAAACCAACTCAATTTTTAATATATTTTTTAAAATTTTTTAAATTATTAATTATTGCAATTTATAATATTAAAAAAAAAATAGAAAATGTACAAAACTTGTATTAGCCTAAAAAATGACCACGATAATTCGAAGCCTACAGAAAGCAATAAGGTTGTACGTAATTTTAAATACTTAATATATATTACTTTGTTTGTCTCAATGTATGTAGCATAGATAAAATTTCAAGAGTCACTCAAATGTTGTTAATTGTTAAGATTTACAATACATCTTATGTAGTTTTCAATAATTTCACATTAAATAATACATATCACTACTTTTGTCTCATTTTATGTGACATTGATAGATTAATTTTAAGAATCAGTCAATTTCTTTTTTTTTTTTGTGTTTTTTTAATAAATATTTTAAGTTGTCAATTATCACGATTTATTATATTTTATACATAATTTGTAACGATAGTTTAATTTCAAGAATCAATAGAATTATTTTATATGTATTTATTTTGAAATATTTTATGTTGTCAATTATCATGATTTATAGTATTTTTACGATAGATTCACTTGAAGAATCAGTGGAATTTTTTGTATTTTTTTCAAAACATATTTTATGTTGTCAATTATCATGATTTATAGTATTTATACGCAATTTTTAAATATAAAACACACAAAAAAAAAGACAAATAAATTAAAATGGACCCAATATATGTTATTTTTGTTGTCTCAATTTATGTGACACAAATAAAATTTGGAGAGTCATCCAAATTTCATTTTTTTTAAAAATGTTTTAAGTTATTAATTATTGTGATTAATGGTGTTAAATTGTCCAATAATATAAATTTTAAAGGTACAACCATAAAAGAAGAATGTACAACACTATCTAAGCACACGCAACACTTTTCATGTGCTAAGTAGTAGATATCCCACTTATTACATATAGTAAAAATAATACATATTACTACTTTTGTCTCATTTTATGTGACATTGATAGATTAATTTTAAGAATCAGTCAATTTCTTTTTTTGTGTTTTTTTAATAAATATTTTAAGTTGTCAATTATCATGATTTATTATATTTTATGCATAATTTGTAACGATAGATTAATTTCAAGAATCAATCGAATTTTTTTATATGTATTTATTTTTGAAATATTTTATGTTGTCAATTATCATGATTTATAGTATTTTTACGATAGATTCACTTGAAGAATCAGTGGATTTTTTTGTATTTTTTTCAAAACATATTTTATGTTGTCAATTATCATGATTTATAGTATTTATACGCAATTTTTAAATATAAAACACACAAAAAAAAAGACAAATAAATTAAAATGGACCCAATATGTGTTATTTTTGTTGTCTCAATTTATGTGACACAAATAAAATTTGGAGAGTCATCCAAATTTTCATATTTTTTTAAAAAATGTTTTAACTTATTAATTATTGTGATTAATGGTGTTAAATTGTGCAATAATATAAATTTTAAAGGTACAACCATAAAAGAAGAATGTACAACACTATTTAAGCACATGTAACACTTGTCATGTGCTAAGTAGTAGATATTCCCACTTATTATATATATAATTGGGAAAAAGTCCGGAAAGTCCTAGTCATTTGCGTTGATGAGATTGATATGTTCTTTCTTTACCTAAAATCTTGTGTATTTTGTTACAAAAACCTAAATGTAGTTCTATTTATATTTATGGTCTACATCACTACAAATATTATTTACTTGCCAATATAGATAATTTTTTTGTTGAAATTCTTACAAAGACTTCACTTCACTTTGGTTTGCAAGGTACGTCGGATGATTTTTACAACCTAATCTTAAATGCTTGCATTTCTACATCTCAAATTTAAAGAGCTAGATTATATTGATTGCATTTTTTCTTTTTTTAATGTATGTATAACTTACTTATAAATATTTAATCTAATTCTGGATTGATTGGACGTGCAAAGAAAGAATGAAAATCTCCAAGAGAAAGAAGAGAAAAGAAGATGATGAGCAACATATCATCAATTATAATATACCCAATGAAATGGTAATTGAGATATTAGGAAGAGTACCTTGTCAAGATTTGCTACAAAATTTAAAGTTGGTATGTAAGAAATGGTATTCCATTATCTACAATGGAAGCTTTGCCTACTCACACTTTGAAGACAATAATAATAAGAAATCATCATCATTCTCTCAACTTAAGGCTCTTGTTATTTCGACAACTGATGGAAAATCCGTCACTATTTCTTCCTTGGAATGGCATAATAATTTCTTAGACCAACCATTTGAAAACTTGATCATGAGTAATTGTAAAGACTTATTCACGGTGGAATATACATCACAATCACGTATTGAGCAAATGGCGTTTCACAAGGCAAATTGTGTGAATGGTTTTGTGTGTTTCTGGAGTACACGTCATGCTCGTTTTCACATTTGTAATTCGATGACTATGGAATATGTGACAACTCCACCAAATCCATATTTGTCTTCAATTAGAGGAGATCACATTACCGCCGGGCTTGGATTTTGCCCAATTTCATATCAGTACAAATTGGTCATTTTTCAATGTCTATATGAATTTGACGTTCCTAAATCAGAAAGGGTTAAAGGTTCAATTTCAAGTATTAACGGAAATGACCAATCATGGAGGCCTTTAAAATGGATTGATGATTCACTTGAACCGGGTGCTAGGTCACCAGCATGTGTTAATGGAGTGTTATATTGGAGTACAAACAGTACTAGTGTTGATTACAATCGAGATCTTTATGATACAACAATACTTGTTGCTTTCGACGTTGCTAAGGAAGAATCTTATCTGATTGAGGTACCAATACAAAGTGAAGCACGCCATCTAAGTATAGAGGAAAAAGGAGGAAAGATTTGTTTGATAACAAATGAACTGTGTCATGATTGCAGATGTATCTTGTTCAAGGGATATATTGCTCATAATATTAATGATCTGGAAAGCTTAAATTCATGGAAACTAGAGTTTAATGTCACAATTTATGACATATATGGCGAATTTGGTAACCATCACATGAGCTTTACCAACGAGATTTTGATGGTTGATACATATGACACCATGTGTTTTTTCGATGTTGCAACTGGAAGGATATTGGATGAATTTCAAACCTCCACTAGAACCGCTTCAATTTTAATCCCTTATGTGCCTAGTTTCATATCTCTTCACCATCGCCCCATAAGAGAAAAAAAATACTTAGACGCTGTGTGCGGGTTGTAATAATTAGTACTATTTATAATTCACTGTTTCAAGTATTTCATTTTGCCATCCATCAATCACATAAGTTTTTGTTAGCAAGTTCTACCTCCTACTCATTCAACTACACTTATTTATTTTCGTTTGATTTTTTCTTTATAAAAAATCCGCCTAATGTATCAACAAAAACAGAAAATCTTATATAAAATAAGATTTTTTTTCTCCGATTATATAAAATAAGATTCGAAAATGAATAGAGGCACTGACTTGACTAGGATCAATTAATATATGTACATGGCCTAAAAAAATCAAAATAAATGAAGCACTAAATATGAACGACGTACTCTTTCTTAATTTGAATATCTCTTCCAAGATATTTGAGGTTCGAGTCGTCAGAAATGTAAAAAATTCAAAATCCTAACCATGAGTGTTTCCCTGTTAATAGGCTTATGCAATGCAAACTCTATTTAAATTAGTCAAGGGGCAATACAATATCGAACACCAAATTAAATTAAATACAAGTACGAGGCAAAAGGACTCAGGTAGAGCATTTCCGGCCGTATACTCACACCATTTTTTTCACGCTCATTTATACATCTATAGGCCTTCTTTTAGGAATTGCACAAATTCCTCTATTTTCGTGTGCATTAGCCCATAGATCTGGCGCCCAGAGCACCCAAAATTTTTTTCTCAAAAAACTTTATGTGGACCTCCGTATTGAGTTGGGGAACCATCACTATACTCACACCATTTTTTCATGCTCATTTACACATTTATAGGCCCACTGATCTGGCGCCCGGAGCATCCAAATTTTTTTTCTCAAAAAACTTTATGTGGACCACCGTATTGAGTTGGGGAACCATCACGTATACTCACACTATTTTTTTTACGCCCATTTCCGCATCTACAGATATCCTTAATTTGTTGTTCCGACATGGCCAGAATGGATGGCATTGCGGTGTTAAAAAATTTTCCAGGCCGATAAATGTTCCTACAAGATATATTGGTCAGTGTGAACAATCGTCAAGCATCAAAAATCATTGTTCTCTTGATTCATATCTTCACATGGAAGCTCAAGCTCTAGAAAAAGGTAAACGCAAAAGAGATAAGTAACAATTTTTGTTCGTGAATACTATTGTTATAAAATCCAAATGAGAAATGATGATGAAGATGAAATATTGCACACTGGTAGATTGTTTAAGCAGTACTCAGTGGACGATTATATAAAGCTTGAAAGTCAAAGATTGGATTTTGCTTCATTTAATGAGGATCTATTTAGGATGGATGTATTACAAGGACTGCTCGATATTCTAAGACTTGGAGAACGAGATGCATCTAATGTTGGAAAGAGAAGTTTCCTTCCAAGTTCTTTCATAGGTGGACCTAGAGACATGAGACAACGATATATGGATGTTATTGCATTAGTACAACACTTTGGGAACCCGATTTATTTTTTACTATGACTTGCAACCCAGGTTGGCCGGAAACTAAGGAACATCGGTACGCAACAGATGAGACACAGAGCAGGCCTGATCTAATTAGTCGCATCTTCAGATCCAAAGTTGAAGAACTGAAAATAGATATAACCAAGCGGAATTTATGTGCTCTGAAGTACGGGGGGGCGCAGTATTTAGATAATTCGTTGGTTGTTTCGTACAATCCTTTCCTGCCTGATAAATTCAATTGTCATATGAATGTAGAAGTGTGCTCTGATATAAAAGTTGTGAAATACCTTTATAAATATATTTGTAAAGGGCATGACAAAATTGCATTCTGTGTGCAAGATAGTGATACAAACAGAAAAATAGATGAAATAAAAGAATTCCAATCTGCTAGGTGGGTCTCGCCTCCTGAGTCTGCGTGGCGCTTATTTGGTTTCTCCATTAGTGAAATGTCTCTAAGTATTTCTCATCTCCAGTTACACCTTGAAGGGCAACAATTTGTTTCTTTCAGAAATGATACAGATATACATACAATTGTTAACAATCCAATGATTTAAAAGACAATGCCAACAGAACTTTTCGAGATGAATAGAACTAACAGAAATGCCCAAGAGCTCAAGTTGTTATACAGAGAATTTCCAGAACACTTTGTATGGTCTGCGGGAGACAAAATATAGACACTACGGAAGCAACGCTTTGCTATTGGTTGCATTGTAACTTGTTACTCAACTGAAGGAGAACGCTATTATCTAAGACTTCTACAGCTGAATGTGAGGGGACCCAAATCTTATGAAGATCTTCGAACTGTAAATGGACAACATTATAATACTTTTAGAGAAAAAAGAAAGTTACTACATTGTGAGTATAATTTGATAGACTGTTTGTTAGAAGCAGCAAGTTATCAAATGACATATAGCTAAAGGCGTTTGTTTGCTACCTTGCTGGTCTACTGTAATCCACAAAATTTATGCAAACAATTCGAAGAGCCAATGTCAGAAGACTCCAAACTACTGAAAAAAAATATATTCAGTACCAAGTCTTAAACCACATTAATGATATGGGTCACAATGTCAATGACTATGAACTTATTCCGCAGACAATTAGACCATCTACAATGGCAATTAAAGACGCAAAATTAAAGAAAACCAGCAGAAGCTCCGGGTAGATTTATTTTTTTTTTTGAAAGAACCATTACAGTAAGTGAAGAAGATGTGTTACTACACAAAAAATTAAACACAAAACAACTGAAAGCATACAATGTGATTACTGCTAGAATTTTTTCTAAGAAACCAGGAGCATTTTTTATTGACGGGCCAGGAGGAACCGGAAAGACATTCTTATGTCGTGCTTTACTAGCAATGATAAGAAGTAAAGAATACATAGCTCTCGCAACAACGACTTCTGGCGTGGCTGCTTCGATCCTCCCAGGTGGACGAATTGCACACTCGCGCTTCAAAATTCCTATCAGACATTGATGAAAAATTTAGTTGTAACATCAGTAAACAAAGCTCAGTTGCGTCTCTGATTCGTGATGCAAAATTAATTGTATGGAATGAAGTGACTGTGACTAAAAAGAAAATGCTTGAAGTTTTTAACATACTCTTAAAAGATCTTATGAATACAAATATGCTATTTGGTGGAAAAGTAGTCGTCTTTGGAGGAGACTTTAGACAAACACTTCAGATTATTCGTAATGGAAAAAGGAATTCATCAATCAAAGTATATTATATTCTACCAAACTTGAAAAATTCCAATTGTCTGAAACTATGAGAGCAAAAACAGACCTTCTTTTCGCGATTACTTGATGAAAATTGGAAATGGACAGGAGAGAGTCAATCTTAACAATAAAATTGAACTTCCAGATTCTTTGATTGTTCCTTTCACAACTGAAGAAGAATCTTTCGATACATTATTTACTATGACATTTCCAAATTTACACACGTCCTTCTCTAATTCTTCTTCTGTGGATTCACGTGTCATCCTAACAACGAAGAATGATTTTGTAAATGAAATCAATGATATGCTTATTGCAAAGTTTCCAGAGAAAGCAACGTAACGATCAAACTCATTAATTATGAAGATCTATTACACACTTTGAATCTTGTTGGTTTGCCTCCTTATAAATTAACTTTGAAAGAAAATCGTCCCATCATATTACTACGGAATTTGAATCCATATGAACGTTTATATAATGGTACACGATTAACATGTTGTGATACTAAAACACACTATCAGTGCTTAAATAGCAGCATGTGATTTTAAAAACACACATATATTTATTCCAAGAATACCTTTATTATCGTCAGCGGATGAAAGATTACCAGTTCCATTTAAACGAACACAATTTCCAATTAAACTATGCTATGTATGGACTATAAATAAGGCACAAGGTCAAACACTTGATTTCGTTGGAATTTACTTGCGAGAGCCTGTTTTTTCACATGGCCAACTTTATGTTGCCTTATCAAGAGCTAAGTGTTCGAACTCCGTTAAAGTACTCATTCGTCCGTCCACACCAGCTAACCATGACGATCGTTGTACGCATAATATTGTTTATGACAAAATCATCCAAAGAACATCCTTGTAAGTCTTCTGCCATCTCAAAATAAAATATGATCAGCTCGACAATGAAGGATTACTTACCTCAAGCTATGGAACAAAATTGGTAATGAGAAACATCAATCCTCACTTCAATTCAAGCTACAATATTGGTTCCAACTATCCTGCAGCTAACTTCATGGTGTAAGTTGCACTTTCCCTGTCTTCCTTTCTCTATACCTTACTCATTCCGTTCTAATTTATGTGTTATTTTTTGGATTTTGAGATTTAAACAAGTCTATATTTGTATAACTTCTTTGACTGTAACCACAGATACAACAGTTTGGTGTTAGTTTCTACGTTACAACATTCAATTTACACCAGAGGACTGGGATCGGTGGGTGGAGGTGATTATTCAGCATTGCACAACAGGCAAGGTTAACTGAAGAACTTTCAGGATTTTCACACAATACCTACATTTCAAATTGCTGGAACCTTTTTCTCCATTTATGCTTGCCTAACTCTTGGAATAGAGCGATTCTCAGTAGAACCCGTTCTTATTATAACTCTTTCATAGCAATAATGTACGTACGTTTTTAGAATGGATTCTGTTTTTATTGCCACTTATTTGATAGCACAAACCAGCAGGTAAACTTGCTTGCGACAAACATATATTGGTCATCAACAGGTAAACTTTAATTTACAATACAGAAGTACTGCTTAAGCGCCACAATATAAACTAATTAAATAGCATTGATGAAAAGTGAAAAAATAGCATCTAGATGATGTTAACTTCCTAACATGCCTAAACTTCCCTTACCTTTATGTTTCTAAGTTTCAACATGACATGTAAATTGTTTGTCACGTAGTACTTACCTACCTAAGTGTTAGGAGGAAGTGGACCTCTTCTCAAACCATAATGTTATGACCTTACAACAGAATCATCGAAGACTCTCAAACCATAATGTTATGAGCTTACAAGAGAATCATTGAACGCATCGCAACACGTAAACTAGAAGACTTTTAATGACCCAATCTAAATGCTAGGCTCGTGCTTGCACGGGCTGCCTTAATCTAGTGAAAGTATAAATTTCAGTACCTTAATTATACCAAATTGGCATTTAATATCTAGAAATCAGGATATTTATGTTATTTGACTTAACACATTGGTGTTCCTTTTTCCATAGAGAGTTAAGGAACCTCCTGTTATAAGTTTTTTGAACAATAATATGAAGTACTAATTGATATTTTATTGCACTTTCTTGAAGAGAAGTGGATTTCTATCAGTAACTAGTTGGTTCCTTTTTTCCTATAGCATAACTTAAATTTCTCAGGTCACAGAAATGCCTCTCTTCTATCCAAGTTGATGTCTATTATCTTTCTAAAAGCTCGGAAGTATTTTGAGGAGATAGGCTAGACTGAGGATGTATTAAGCTGGACCAGCTTCTCAACAAAACGAATGTATTTGAAGCTTAGAGGTAGGTGATTTTCCCAAGGGAAATTGTAGAAGGTTAGTGTGTAATAATGCAGCATCACCTAAATGGACATTCATGTTATACTCATCTTCTAACTAGAGAAAGACTGGCTGCATGGGGGTTGTTGCCTATACTTTGCATTATGAATAATAAAAAGGCCAAAAACAGAAAAGAAAATGATAAAGAAATACGAACCACAAATTAAAGCCACAAATGTTTTTGAAAACCAACAAAAGTACCATTGAACCTACTAAATTGAGTCAGCCTCAAATGTCCACTCACTTAACAAGTGGAGTCAAAACGAAGTTTGCAATCATTCAACATAAAACTAAAATGCAAAGACAAGGACATTAACTTTTCAAGTCTAAACATGATGTTAGGATTAACCGCGAGTCGCAGATCTCAAGACTCTTGTAGACCTGAGTTGATTTTCCAATGACCCACGAGCAGACGTCTCATGTCTAGCTCGTGATGCCCCCGCTGCAGATGTCTCACCTCTTTCTCGTGGCCCAGTTGATCCTGATGCCCCACCTATGGCACGTGACGCCCCCGCTGCAGACGTCTCACCTCTGTCTTGTGGCCCAGTTCTCGTTACTCTGGTTCGTCGTTCTCTGTTTAAAGGTGGTTGAGGTGGGAATGAATCTATGTAAAAATAGCAGCAGCAGATCATTAGTTTTACGCAGACCTTACCCTAGCTTGAGATATAGGGAGGTTGTTGTCGATAGATTCCTCAACTCAAGGAAAAACATATCTAAGGAAAAACTAAAAAAGAAATGAATCCCCCATCACAGTAAGCAAAACTATTAGTTAATACATCACAATAGTTGACAAGACATTAAAAGATAATTATTAATTTTTTCTCTATTATGAAAAAACAGCAAGAATCTCATCATAGTACACAAAACTACTCCCAAGTGTTTAAAAGTTAAACCTTTTCTTCTCTATAATGAACATAAAACAAAACAACAAAATCCCATCAATTAAATAAAATTTTGCTCTATTATGAATGTTTGTATCTTATCATTGAAAAACTGAATCATTTTTCTTGGTGAGAAAAAAATGGAACTTTGTTTCTTTTAAACCATAAAGAATCGAGATTAAGAAAAAATAAGTAAATAATTTCTTACCTTGCTCGATGGTGAGCACGAGTAAGAATCTTCCATTGTTTCTAGACCTTGCCCACTGGTATGTCACACTAATACTTTCATTTGCTCGAAAGTGTTTAGTTACACCCGGCCAATACAAGAAAAAACAGTTAGGCTCTTCATGAGAAAATATCAGACCTGGGGTGGGAGGCGCTGGCAGTCGGGACGAAAGCAAAGTCACAGGAAGTGACCTATCCCTCCAATTAATGGAATGCACAAAAGTATGTTGAGGACTTCCATTCCTAAGGGATTGAATTTCAAAGTTATGGAGTTGTATCCTACAACTACTAATCATGTACGTTGTTAGCTTTATATTAAACCAAAACAGTGGAGCATTTGAAACAAAATCAAATGTTTGACCATCGAATGGTCTCCAATCATCACGTGCTGCCTCACTGA